TCCCAAGTTGTGAACACCACAAATGACTGCACACATTGCCACGTCTCCCCTGGGGGAAAGGTGAGCAAAATCACCCCTGGTTGAGAATCGCTGCTCTCGGCTGAAGGCACCCAGCTGAGTTCCAGATGCCAGGGACCCAACTAGGGGGTCAGAGAAATTATCAAGAAGCTGCAGACTTCAGGGACACTGATTTCGGTTCACTTCAGCCTTGATGGCAGTCACCTCTGAACCAGCAGTCAGTTGTAAATCCTGGGTCGAGTACTGAACCTGTGAACGGAGGTCGGCACCTGTGGAGATGACGCAGGTCCAGAATGTCCCCAAAGGTGTGTGCTGTGCTGGGGCCTGGAGAGCCAGAGGGACAGGGGACGCATTTCACCAGGGCTCCTTTTAAGACCAGTGGCCCTTTTGTCCTGGCTGCTTCAGATCCTTCCGTGAGTGCCCAAACCCTCTTTCCCCTGGGTCCGCCAGCCTGTCTGCAGTCCTGTGCTCTACCTGGGGGCTTGCCTGCTCCCGGGCCCTCGAGTGCAGACAAGTAATGTTAACAGGTGAGGCGGGTAGACTCTAGCCCGCTCCCGTGAGAATGGGCTTTAGGTTTTAAGAGAAGCCAGAAACCTGGATTATTTTACATGTAGTTTGATTTTGAAAAGTTTGGCAGTTAAGTTAAAAATGTTAAAACTGGGCCGTGTCTGACCTCTAAGCCCCCTCTGACTTAAACCTTTCCTTATGTTTCTTGTGTCTGCCGGTCCCATTAGAATAGACTGGATTTGAACTCGAGAGTAAGGTTTGCCTACCTGCCTTTTAGGGAAAAGGGCCCAGTGGTGGGATAGAAATGTCAGGCTGGAAGGGGGCTCGAGGCTCACCCTCCCTTGTGTTTCCAGGGGAGCTCTTTGCTCAGGCCCCGGTGGATCAGTTTCCTGGCACGGCCGTGGAGAGCGTGACGGATTCCAGCAGGTACTTCGTTATCCGCATCGAAGACGGAAACGGTGCGTGCGGGGCTTGGTAGTTCCTCCCACTGAGAAAGGTTTCCTCTGCCTCTGGCAAGTGGGATTAATCCTGCGTTGTCCCCCAGGGCGTCGGGCGTTTATTGGAATTGGCTTCGGGGACCGCGGCGACGCCTTTGACTTCAATGTCGCGTTGCAGGACCATTTCAAGTGAGTGGTTGCAGGACACACGTGCTCACGCCTCCTCCCTTCTTTCCTGGACAGAATGGTGCCCCAGTTTAGGATACCCAGGTGGTTGTGTGGGATTCGTCTCCTGGCGGCGCCTCGGGGGAACTTGCTGCTCCTGTGGGGCAGGCTGCCTTCTCTGCTTTCGAGTCGTCTCCTTTTCCCAGGGTCAGCCGGCCCAGCCTCTGGGATGCCATTCCTCTTCCCATACCAGGCACCAGAGGTGCCAGAGTCCGTGCAAGGCTCACGTGGCCTTGCTGAGCCAGTTCCCCCAGGTACCATAAGTGGCGCGATCCTCGGTCACCTACCAGATGTCCTGGGAATCCTTTCTACAGCTAGAAGACGGGACAGGAAGGACTGTGCCCCTGCCACCTGCAGGCCCCCCCCCCCCCCCGGCTGCTGGCACGTTGGAAAGAGTGCCGCCACTCACGTGGGCACCCCCGGCACTTCCCTGACGTGTCCCTGGGTGGCTGCTGGATGGGTATCAGATGGCGGGTGGGGGACCTTGGTGTTGCTCTCTACCGCCTGGGCATCTGTCTTGTCTCACCACCTACCTTAAGAGTCATTGGGCACGGCGTGTGGATACATAGTCTTAGTTCTCACGCCAAGTGCTGGGGAGGAAAGGGCCAGGTTCTCAGATTTCCGAAAGACAGGTGCCAGGTCCGCCTTGTACATAAATGAGCTCACCGAGTTTTCATAGCAGTCATTAAGATACACAGGATCGTCATCCCATTTTGCTGATGAGGTAACGGATGTGCGCGCGGCTGCTTATGTGACAAGAGTCAGGATTTGAATTCAGGTCCAAGTAGCAAGCCCACGTGTGCTCTTTCTCAGCAGGGCACCTGGTCTCATTGTCACGCTTTTCTTCCTGTTCTCTCCCCAGGTGGGTGAAACAGCAGTGTGAATTTGCAAAACAAGCCCAGAACCCCGACCTGGGCCCCAAGTTGGACCTAGGCTTCAAAGAGGGCCAGACCATCAAGCTCAACATCGCGGTGAGTCCCACCCTCACTTGGCTTTGTTGGCAGGCACCCAAGCCCGGCCCAGAGCCCACCCCTCTTTTCCCATAATTCAGTTCCATCAGTTGAGCCGATACTTGTTGAGCAGCTGCCTTGTGCCAGGTACTGGGCCGTGGGTGGGCGAGAGGGCTCAGCTGTCGTGGAGCTCAAAGTTCAACGGAGGTGGACGAGACGAACAGTGATCACAACCTGGCAGGGGAGGGGACTGCTCAGTGCCATGAGCTCCTAGAGGAGGGGCACGCAGCCTAGAGCTTGGGGAAGCCAGGAAGGCTTTTTGGAAGAAGCCAGAGCCTTCTGCTCTGGGCAGAAGGGCGCTGAGGTGGATGCCGGGAGTCATGGGCAGCTCCTGCCAGTGGGGGTGTCCTGACACCCCGTGTCTTCGTCCTAAGCTGCCCGGCATCTGGGGGTGTCCCCTTGTTAGCTCCTGTTGAGAATGGGAAAAGGTAGTGCTGGGCTGGGTGGCCAAGGCTTGGTCCTCACCCGGCTACAGGGAGGGGGGTTGGAGTGATTTGGGGGAACCAAGGACCAGATGGATATGTTTTTTGAAGAAACTTTGTAACCCTAAAATAATGCTCTTCCTTTTTACTTACACTGTCTCTCTCTCCTCTTTTCTGCTTCATGATGGTGATGATTTGGGACCCTTGAAGTTGGCCAGCTGGCCCTTAAGAGAAAATACCGGTCATGTCCAGTGGACTGGTTGGGATGTGATTCCTCTCTTGCTGGGAGGGGACTAGCATTTAATGAGCATCAGCTGTGTGCCAGGTAGTGTTCTTAGGCACTTACATGACTCAAACATTCTCCCATTTTACAGACGAGGAAGTTGAGGCTTAGCGAGATTAAGGAACTTGCCCAGGTCATAGAGCTGGAAATAACCAGCACAGCTGGACTCCCAGCGAGGGCTGTGAGGCTTCTGACTTCAGGGCTATGGTTTTAGCATTGGATTAAGCTGCTTCTCCCCTTATCAGGTGGGGACTGTGTCTTCATCCTTGTAACTAGCACTGGTTTCTGGCTCACGTTGGGACTCAGATTTTGGGGATTTTTTAAGGTCTTACTGAAGTATGATACACGCACAGAAAAGCACACACGTTATAAATGTAGAAGGCGGTGAATTTTTGAAAACCAAATGTGCCCACCCAAACGAGCCCCAGATCAAGAAGCAGAGATTATCAGCACTCGGAAGCCCCTCCCCTGCTCCCGTCCACAGGCTAGAGTAGCTACTGTCCTGATGTTGGACGCCCTAGATTTTGTTTGTGCCTTTTATGAATGAATCCTCCGCTTTGTGCTCTTGTGTGTGTAACCCCTTGATCCAGTGTAGCATTTGTGAGAGCCTCCGTTCGGTGCACGTAACTTGTCTGTTGTCACTGTGGTGGCGTATTTCGTGATGAGAATGTGCCCCGGTGTTACCGTTCAACCGGAGCGCTTGCCAGTTTGGAGCTTTCACAAATGGTGCGGCTGTGAACGTCCAAGTGCATGTGAGAACGCATTCCTGGGAGGTCTGTTTCCAGGAGGGGAATTGCTGGGTCATCTGTTGGCGTGCTCAGCTTTATAGATTCTTTGAAGCTGTCTTTCCAAGGAGTTTTCCCAGTTTGTGCTTCCACCAGCAGTGTGGGAATGTTCTGGTTGTTCCCTATCCTTGCTGGTACTTGACAGCCTACATTTTAGCCGTTCTGGTGGGCGTGTACTGGCACAGCACTAGTTTTCATTTGTGGTGTTGATTTGTATTTCTCTGATGATTAATGAAGCCAGTGCCGAGTCTTAAAATGAAATGTATTTGGGAATAGCTCCAGAATTGTGCCGCATTGAGTACTGCTCGTAACAGTGAGAGTGCTGGACAGCTCTTGACCGTCTTGTGGTTATACAGACATTTGGGGCTTGGGGGCCGCCGTGGCCCTCCCTGTGGGGTTTTCCAGTGGGAGTGGGACCCCAGCAGAGCTGACTGGCTTGCATTCCTCTCCTCTCTTTAGAACATGAAGAAGAAGGAAGGAGGAGCTGGGACTCCCCGAGCCCGGCCCGCCAGCACAGGGGGCTTGAGCCTGCTTCCCCCGCCTCCAGGGGGGAAAACCTCCACCCTGATACCCCCTCCTGGGGAGCAGCTGTCTGCGGGGGGGTCCCTCGGCCAGACAGCAGTTGCTCCCAGTTCAGGTCAGTGCTCCGGAGTGCTTGTTGCTGAACCTGCCCTGTGGGTTCCTCTCCCCACCCCCAGTGGCTGGGGCCCTGTGGCGTGTTCCCTCCTGCACTCACACTGGTCCATCATCCGGTACCTGTATGTGACAAACTAGAAGGTGATGCTGCCCAGACTGGGTAAGGGCTTCCTCTGTTCTCTGATGCCCACCACTAACCCCCTCAGTGCCTCTGTCTACCCCTGATGGGGCAGGGACTGAAACTTGTTCATGGCTGTGAAATCACCCACACGTGCGTTCTTGGCTCTCAGAGGCTGCTCAGTGTTTGTCTAGTGGGTGGGTGATGGAAACATGGTCTGCTCATGTCGACTACTCATATCTAGTAGGAGAGAGGAGTCATGGATGCAAAGACCAAATGTATGGGTCCACATACTACCAGCCAGCATGGTGTGGGGAGGCTTCACGCAAAAGGTGGAATTGAACTGGGCCTTGAAGGAAAGAGATTGGGGCAGGGGATGATGCTTGGCGTCGCAGAGAGAGACAAGAGTGTGAATGGGGCTCAGGTTTTTGGTTTTTTTTTTTTCAATTAATTAATTTTGAGAGAGAGTACACGTGAGAGAATAGGGAAGGGGCAGGGAGAGGGGGAGAGAGAATCCTAAGCAGGCTCCACATGTCAACACAGAGCCCAACACAGGGCTCCATCCCACGAACCGTGAGATCATGACCTGAGCTGAAATCAAGAGTCAGACGCTCAACGGACTGAGCCACCCAGGTGCGCCAAGGCTCAGATTTGTAAACATCTGGTGTATTTAAGGTTATGGATGTAGCATAAGTCTGCCAAGGTGAGTGGTGGGAAATAAAATTGGGGATTTAGTTTGGAGCACGCTCCTTGTAAGGCCCTCGGGGTGCTGGGAAACTGAGAGGTAACTCCCCCAGCACGCTATGCTGGTGCTTGTTCTAAGGTGTAAGGAACGGCTTTTGGAGACCCTGGGATTCCAGAGGTTTGTGCCTATTACCAGCCGCTGATAATGCCGGGGAGCTAGCCCATTTCCTTGGCCTCCCCACCCTACCTGCCCAGCCTAGCTGGATGCTCCTGGCCTTCCCCAGGCTGGGTGATTGTCACCAGCCCACTTTCTCCACGCAGATCTCACTAGGTTCTAGCAGGGGGCAGGATCTAGGCAGGAGTCCTGCTTTCGTTCTCTCTTAGCGGTGTGGACGTTGGCTTCCCTGTCTGAAGGTTGGGCTTCCAACCTCAGCCCTGTGGGGGATTCCCAGCCCAGGAGTGGGCAGGAGTAGCAGTCAGTGAGCCCCGGCCCCGACACCTGGAACTATCCTTTTAGCCCCGTATAGGACCACCTACCTTGGCATCACCAGGGACAGGGGCAGGAACGTCTATGTTCTTAGTGTTGTGTGCTCGCTGAGGTCTGAGAGCCAGTCTTAGGCCTTTCCTCAGTTGCTGGTGCGTTTTTAACAGCTGATACAGAATATGTATATGTGCCAGGGGGTGTTTCAGGTCCTGGGGATACTCCAAGTACAGCTGCTGTTCTCAAGGGCTGTGCTCTAATGTGCCAGACTGGCAATTAGCATGTCTCCAGATGAAATGGTGTCAGCACCCCACCCCCACCCCGGGTGGCTTAGTTGGTTAAGTGTCTTGAGCTCAGCTCAGGTCTTGATCCCGGGGTCATGAGTTCAAGCCCTGAGTTGGGCTCCGTGCTGGGTGTGGTGGAGCCCACTTAACAAAACCAAACAAAACACAGACCAGTTCTGTGAAGTCAGCACTGTTGTTGTCTCCCTTTGAGAGATAAGGGAACTGAGACCTGAGGAATGTGCATGAAGTCACACGGTTGGTCCCGGCCTATCTTCCCCCAGGGACTGTGATGGGGTTTGAAAGATAGTGCGCTTTAAAGCACTGCTTAAGCACTTGGCGAGCTGTAAAACTAAACACTTGAAGGCCCTGGTTTTATCTGATCTCCCAGCCCAGAGCAGATGAGACATAGCAAATTGGTGGGAAGGCAGAGGGTAGCAGGCTCAGGGCCTTTGGAAGGAGCGGTTAGCCCTGGGAGAGGTGCCAGAAACGCACAGAAACAGCCCCTGCGGCCCCATTGTGCCCCCTCCCTGGATGAAAAGGTACACACGGATAGCAGCTTCTGTGGCTTCTTCTAGAAGGCTCTCCCCAAACCCTAACCTGTTTGGGTCCCAGCACTTGCCACTTGTCCAGAGCATGACTTTTTCATTCGGTTGATCCAGACACTGGACTGAGGGCTTTACGTGAAGACGGGCTTGCAGCTTTGGTGGGCATTCTCCACTCAAGAAGCCAGGGCAGGAGATGGTAAATTTTAAACAGATGGCCAACGTCAGCCGTTGGAAACAAGGTCAGCTTCAGGTAGGGATGATAGGTGAGGTGTGATTCCTCCTCGCTGGCACCCTCCCCTCCACCTTGTACGTGGCTTTCCACTCTTCCCCAGGAGCCCTCAAGGCCTCGTGAGCTGATGGCGGAAATGTGGCAGCTCGCTGGGTCTGGTTGCCCCAGAGCAGGTCTCCGTGTGTCTTTCTCAGGCACCTGGAGTCATGAGGCTGATTTCTCAGGGTCACTGAGGCCACCCAAAAGAGCGATCCCTGACGTGTGTCTCCTTTTCTTTCCTCCCTGCCCATCGGATGTGGGGACGTCAGTAGGAGGTGCCACCATGTCCTGGCCACAACCCAAGCCTGCCACCGCCGCCACCGCCGACATCTGGGGAGACTTTACCAAATCCACAGGGTGAGGAGGGTCACATTTTTGTGGTGGGACTGGGGCCGGGGCTGCTTCTCGAGAAACCTGGGATCGGCCCAGGTGCTTTTGTTGTGGTGTTCAGAGCAGCAGCTCTTGCTCGGAGATTCTCAGGCCGGCCGGAGGGCAGAGCCCCAAGTGCCTCCTTTGGGTGGCACACTTCTCTCCATGAAGGCTTTTCGCTGCCTTCTACTGCTGGGCGACCTGGGGCTACCCTTTGCGACTCTCTCCGGTCTCGTCCTCACTAGGAGCTCCCCCTTCCTCCTCCGCTCCCGTCCTCATGGGACCTCTGAGGCAAGGTCTCTTGCCTTCTTCGCCTCGATAAAATTTCAAGCCTTGCCTTGGAGTTGAGGTGAAGAGATACTCCAAACTTAATTGTATTCTGCGGACGTTATACGGGCTGCAGGACAGGACTCGGCACGTGCTTTCTGTAAAGGACCAGATGGCAATTAGTACAGGCTCTGCAGACCTTATGGTCTCAGTTTTGCTTTTGTAGCTCAACAGCAGCCATAGATGATGTGTCCGTGAATGTGCGTGGCTGTGCAGCAGTGACCTTTTATTTACAGAAACAGGCAGAGGACTAGATTTGGTCCCTGGGCTGTAGTTTGCTGACCCCTGCTCTAGAACATTCGGGGACCAGCTTCCTGGAGCTCTTTCTGCCCAGAGAGAAGCCACATTTTATCGACTTTATATTTTCAAACATCTGAACTCTCCCACCCCTCCCTCTTTTTCCTTTTACAGGTCGACTTCCAGCCAGACTCAACCAGGCACAGGCTGGGTCCAGTTCTGATCTGAGCGCACCCCCCTTCTTCCTCGTACAACTTCTGGAAAGGAGCCGCCTCACCTGGGCCAAAGGAAGGAGGACGAAGCTCTCCGCGGCCAGCCTCTGTCTGGAGCATGACCCTCTCCTCCTCGTCTTGACGTTCTTAACAGACTGGCATGTTCGCAGTGAATTGGCACATGTCACACTTCCCTGGGACTCAGGTGTGCCGCCAGAACGCAGGAGGAGAAAAACTCCGGCATCCCCTTCTCTGTTCTTTTGACGTGAGAGACTCCGAGACTGCTGCTTCCATCACAGTGACCCGTATTAAACACAAGCCCCCAAAGCAAAAGAAGGGGTTGAGTGTGCTGCCTGGACTCAGATCGGCCCTTCTCAGTGGTTACAGGTGTCACATGACCAGCGTCCAGAAGGAGGGCTTTGTGCACTCCCATTGGCTGGAGCCACTTCATTCAAGGTGCCTTCAGAGGGGGGATTCCTTCCTGATTACTGGCAGGTTTATAGGCTGCAGCTTGAACAGATAATCAGGAGGGGAATCAGGAGTATTAACCAGCTTTTAAAACCTTTTTTAAGATTTGCTTTGCTAACGTGCTGATCTGCACTAACGCGCCCTTGCAAAAGGGACTCCTTCTGCAAAAGGCCCCGGCAGGGGGCTCTGAAAGCATTCCACGGCGTCGGCCGCAGGAACCGCGCTGAGCTTCAGAAAACGGTGTTCGTCCTGGCCAAGTGGCCTGGTTGCCGGGTCCTCCGGGCCCGGTAGGCAATGCGGGGCTGAGGCAGGCTTCGCTGGAAGCCAGGCGGAAGAGTGTTTGAGCAGGAACGTCGGAGCTGTTCTCACGGAGGTGGGGGTTCGGCCTTCCTGTCCGCCGCCAGGTGGTTTCTGAAGTGCCTTGTCTGCAGACAACCTCTTAACTTTCTTTTCTCCTTCAGAGACTGTACATGACAGATAGAAGGGAGTTCTGCGTGAACTGGAAGTCTAGGGTTGCCTGTAGTACCGGTCTGTAAGAAATGATTTTATCTGAGCACACCTCTAAATTTGCTTTTATCGACATACTTTACCTCTTAATCGAAAGATCTTTTTTTTGGAGGGTCAAGACGATGAGATGAAAAAGGTGTTGGCCTTTTTGTGGGACCAGATTCCCTAAGATAAAGAAATAAATATTTTTGCGTCTGTCAACGTATGTCAAAGATGAACAGGTTTTCGGCAGCACGGCCACCAAACCATCCGGGATGCCACAGCTAGACTCAGCCACCTCTCACCACTGGTCACGTGTCCAGATCAAAGTCTGATGTCAAGGTGTCACATTAGCCACAATGAGAGAATTCCATCCTCTTGCCCTAAGGAAACCAGTAACTCCTCTCCCGTGCGCCTAGAAAGGCACAGTCTTTTTGCCATTCTGGGATGTTTGGGCTCCTTGCCTTGTAAGGTGGGAGGGGGGCCCCTGCCTCCCACCGAGACCTCACCGTGGAAGCATCTCCCGAGATGGTAAGGGTGTACGGGCACGCAGAGGCCAAAAAGAAAAGGCCACGGCACTTCCCGTGCCTGAGGGTTTGGTAGGAAAGCTGCAGGTTTTGTTGTTGATGGAAAGAAACAGCTGCTCTGGCTAATAAACCAGGTAAGGGGGGGGACATAGAAAATTAGAATTGAGGGTCCTGTGCCCTTTGAGTAAGAGTAAGGAATTCGCATCAAAGGAATCTCAGAACTTTGGGTCTCTCTTACGTCCCATCTGTTTTCTTCCAAAGCATCTGGTGGCTGGAAGGGAGGAAGCTTACACTTGAAAGAACCCTCGAGTTGGAAGTACCTCCCCTTGGAGGTGGGCGCTTGGGTTCTGGAGGTGGACCTTGGCTTTGGAGCTAGTCTCTCTCCTGGTTAGGTGTGTGACCACGGGCTCCTTCCTTACCCCAGGTGTCACTCAGAGGAGACATAGAAGCATTAGGAGGCGCCCATCTCATAGTTTGGCCTTAATGACCTTTGCCGAGAATCAGATAACTTGCCCAGAACCATTACTCATAACAGGGGTGGCAAGGCCGCTGGCGAAGCAGCCATCAAGGATCTAACCTGAAAAACACCTTGACGGATCTGTGGCGGGTAGGGGTGGGGCGAGAAACGGTTTGGTGTTCTCCCATCACCTACCGGAATCCTGGCCGGAGAAAACCTGCTGTGGGGCCAGGGTCCCCAGGAAAACCCCCAGTACCAAACCAGGCATCTCTTCAATTAGACGCCTGACCAGGGCTTCCAAATTGGTTGGGGGTGGGGAACGTCAGGCCTGGGCTCTTCTCTGCGGAGCTGGGGGATCCGAATGCCCGGACCCACAAAGGTGGCCCCCGTGATTACCCCCACCAGGCGTGCACACCTCGTGTAATCCCCTCCTTTGACGTAAGCCAGACCCGTTTTTTCCAAGCAATACAATAAGGCAAAGGTGACGAGATGTTGCTTCCGTGCTTAAGTCACAGAACATGACAACATCTGACTTGGCTGAGATCCCTTCTCACTGGCTTTAGAGAAACAAGTAGCCATGTGTGTGCTGCCCTCGTCAGAGGGTCGAAGAGGCAAGGAACTGAGGGCAGCCCCTGGCTGGCAGCTAACAGGAGACCAGACCTCCTGGTCTGAAAAGTCTGCAAGAAACAGAGCTCTTGCCCAAACTACGTGAGCTAGGAATCTGGTCCTTCCCCAGTTGGTCATTTAGATGAGCCCCAGCCCCGGCCAAACCTTGACTGCAGAGGACCCGGTGAAGCTGGGCTCAGACTCTGGACCCAGAGCAACTGAGCCATTAAATGTTTTAAGCTGTTAAATTTGTGGTAATCCTATCAATGCAGCAATAGAGAACTAATATAAGAAGTGAGCAAAGTGGGTTTGAAGTGGGAGTCTCGGGGGCGCCTGGGTGGCTCCAACTTCGGCTCAGGTCATGATCTCACGGGTCCTGAGTTCAAGCCCTGCATCAGGCTCTGTGCTGACAGCTCAGAGCCTGGAGTCTGCTTCAGATACTGTGTCTCCCTCTCTCTCTGCCCCTCCCCTGCTTGTGCTCGCGTGCTCTCTCTCTCTCTCTCTCTCTCTCAAAAATAAACATTAAAATAAATAACACACCTTAAAAAGATACCCAGTGGATCCAGTTAATCAGAATGCCTGTGCTCTACGCCTCCTGGTTAATGTGGTTTTGCTGACGGTGGTCAGAGTCCAACCCAGCCTAGCACCGGGATTTGGCAGGCATTTGGCCCTAGCAACCCTGGGGTGGTAATTCCAGTCAGTCACTTGTTTTTCAGTTACCTGAATTGCAGATTTAGAGCCCTCTGCAGTGAGCAGGTGAGGCCCTGGCACAATTCCCTTCTGGTGGCTGGTCTTGGGGTCACTGGGCTGAGCACCATCTAGGTATAGGGCCGGGAGAGTGGGCAGCAGCTCTGGGGATTCAAATGACCACGGGCCAGGCTGAACTGAGCAGAGTCCCTGGTTCGGCACAGAAGGGGACCCGGCCTCTTCACAGAGAGGGGAGGCGGAGGCCGGGGTAAGTATGTGATTGCCCGCAGCAGGCTCCTATGGGCTCTGGGGGTAAGAGGGTCAGGAGAGAGTCGCTGTGTTTGCTGTCCCTCCCAAAGTCTCACATGAGGTAGCGTGGTATAGGGGAAAGAACATGAGATTGAAAGGCACTGAACTCCCTGGTGCGTATCCTTGGGCAAGTGACTGTACCTCTCTGAGTGTCCCGTTTCTTTATCTGTAAAATAGAAACAACCCTAGGACCTGCTTGGCAGCCTAGATCCTGTTCAGAGGGGACCGAGGATGAAGTGAGAGAATCTAAGAGGAAGCAGGCAGCACAGTGTGGTATGCAGCCAGTGTAGGCTGCCTCCGGGGTGCAGGTACTGGTAACCAAGGCAGGCCTGGTGGAGGCAACGGGCAGGTCGGCTGGAGGGAGGGGCAGCGATGGGGGCCTGAACCCAGACCCTGGTGCTTGAGGAGCACTCTGGACGGAGGGCTCTGCAGGGATGGGATCGGGAGTGGACTGGGGAGTCCATGAGCCTGTCAGGGCCTGGTAGGAACCCAGCAAGTCTGGGGAGTCCAGACAGGGTGACAGAGATCTGTACCATCCTGGGGCACCTGGGGCCAGCTATGCTTACTGGCGGAGGTCAGCCACCCCTTCTTGGGAAATTGTGCCCTTCTCCCAATTTTGCAGCTCCTCCTCCCCTTCCCCAGACTCTAGGGATTGACCCAAACCTTTCTTGACCAATAGCTCTCAGCCTTGGCCCAGGTTATGGCC